GTTGTGTTTTTGTTCACTAACACTTCTTATGTTCATGGCTGGGGCTGTATAGCTCCAAAAAGGAAATCGGCCGAGGGGATTGCCGTCGTCTCCAACCACGCCCACCCTGCCTGGACTGTTGCTTTAAGTGTCGCTTGTGCTTGCATTTTGTGGGTTCATATTGTTGTATAGACTTCTGCATAAGGGTATAACATCTTAACTCTCATCAAACGTCCATCAACCATTTCTTCCAGGTTCTCCAGAAGCTCTACCATCCATCTCTGCAAAAATAACCTACCTCCCTCTTCACTGCTAGTTAGCGGTCCACTTCTGGTTACCATTTCCTCGTTCATTATCAAATCCATGGCTATTAAGCTTCAAACTCCTTGTCGCAATCAAAGCCGACACAAATATCGCGCTCCAATCGCGCGTTCTTCCCATACCGTAGTTGTTTTCGCTGCGGGTGCGCCAGCCTGCCGCGCGATGTCGCGTTGCGAAGAGCGAAAAAGTCGCGTTCTGTCCTAAGTACCCACACCCTGGAATACTTAGCTCTTTCTCTGAACGAGAAATTTTTAAAACAGTAACGATGCCGATGTGTCAAGGGCACCATAGCCATGAATCTCCGCATTAGACCTACTCTATGAAAGCATAATCATTGAGGCTCGTCCATTTCCAAAGCTTCAGGAGCGGGCAAGGTTGAGTGGGAACCGCTCACAATAAGTATATCAAAATCGGTATCGCTGTGCTAAGGCGTAATCACGCTCTAATTTGCCATAACGGCACGTGAATTTCAGCAGCCCTGACTTCATCAGAAGGCAGCGGCTTCGGCATTTTGGGCGCATTCATAGTCGATCGTCCGATTGCAAAGGGTTACATACGTATATCGATCGTCCAGTCTTAGACCGACGTCATAGTCGGCGATGGACCAAGCGATGGAGCGATCGCGATCGCTCCATCGCTTGTCCGTCGCTTGCCAATCGCTCTCGGTCGAGCGATTGCGCAAGCGATTGCGCAAAGTGCACAAGCGACGGGCGATTGGCCCCGCCCCCAGTCGATGCAGTCGGCTGCGGTATCGATCGAGCAGAGCCATCGGCCGTCGCTTGTGCACTTTGCAAGCGATTGCGCAATCGCTTGCCAATCGCTCGACCGAGAGCGATTGGCAAGCGACGGACAAGCGATGGAGCGATCGCGATCGCTCCATCGCTTGGTCCGTCGCCGACTATGACGTCGGTCTAAAACGTCCATAGTCGAAATACGCATCACGTTATACGACTTATACGATCGTTACGATCGGACGACCGAACATGCGCATTTGGCAGTTCCTTTGTGGTTGGAAGAAAGTGGAACTAGGAGAAAAGCAAAACAACATTTGGGCCTATCTCTTCATTTCTTTGTCACTTGCGCCCCACCAGGTACCGCAATTTCCGTGCTTCAAGTCGCCAAAATTTCAGCACATGAATTGAATCAGTTGTGGATCAAATACACTGCGTTTACTCTAGCCAATCTGCAGAGGGATGAATAGCGCGCGCGCGTGGGTCGGAAACCACGACCAAAAGGAAAATGACAAGGCTTATGGAGACAGCATCCAGTCCATCGAGAATGCTGATACCAGAATGTCTTCACCATTCCCTGGCGAACCTATCACTGAGCATTTATCTCGCTACTTCGCCCCTCGAGGATAATTTGATGAATATGCCACAGGTCAATGCTCAGCGGGGAATCGAAGTAACAACCAAACCTAGAAAACGAACAATATAAAATGAATTGGTACACTTAAGAACTCGACAATGGAGAGCACACTTTGAAAATCATACTTCAAATTAAGAACTCATAAAAAGCACCAACCTCAGAAGACTTACCTTCTTTTCATTCGTGAGAAAAACTCGCTGCAAGCAGATGAGGTTGGGATGTCTAAAATAGTCAGAACAACATTCGCGAAAACCACATTCTTATTTTTCAGCCATAATTTAATACTACTATATTGAGGTAGCTCCCGCGATAAGTTAATATTGATGCAGTGTGAAAGTATAGGTAGCGAACGATGAGTCTGTTCAAAAAAAAAACAAGAGCAACGGCCAAAAACCCGAAAAGGGGCCCTCCCTACGGCCGTTGATTTCGGAAGTGAACAAGTTTATGGCTCTCCCACTTTCTTCACACTTCGAGCGCGGACGAGTTGGTAGTGACCGCGAACTGTGCGGGTAGGTTTGAAAACATTCCATCGGCTTAGTTCGCGGGAACTATCAACTCGTCCGCGCTCGCCGCGGTCGCGCCCCAGTGTGAAGAAAGGGGGGCCCAGTTTACACTAGAGCGTTCAAGCATGTAGGATCGTATCAGCGATCATGAATAAAGGAATCGTCCACGACAGAGAGAAAGCTCCACCCCCATTACCACAGAAAACGATACCTATTAACACGTTGACGACCGTGTGGTATGATGTCATACCACACTCTTTCGGCCACGTGGGACCGTGTGACATGATGTCATGTCACAGTCTTTTTTAAGCTGGTTTTCAAACATTTTAGGTAACTTATTTACGTGATGTATGCGCCATACTTAGGCATTGTTACAAAAGGCGTGGTCCCTGGAAAGAAGCTTCGGTTGATGGGCTATCGAGTTTTTCTAAAAATGTTTGAATAATGATCAAATCACAGGAATCGCTAAAATGGCCAAAATCGCATAATCGGAGACCTACCACACAAGAAAGATAACAAATACACACTTCCTGAGAAAAAGGAGTTCTCGTGGGACCGTTTGACATGGTGCCATGCGGGTCAACCGTCCGTTGGACAAAAGTCCAACGGGGGGGGGTCGTATTTGGCCGACGCTAGGGGGGGGGTCGTATTCGCAGGAGTCAACGTTGCAGTACGAAGAGGTTTTTGGGTGTAGATGACGAGAGGTGGTTTTCGCTATAAGGAACCTAATGTGTGTTGTGATGAAGCTCGCAGCTGTTGGCTCTTGCTGGGACCATCGAACGATTAGAATCAAGACGTTAGTTCTTGTGAGTGCTCCTTCAATTATTAAGCACAAACGAGTGCATGGCGCACATCAGAGCAGAAGAGTCTGCTGCGAAAGTATCCATATTTGACTGCGCACGTACACAAATATAATTCTAGAGGTGAACCAATGCCTTCAAACTGGACCTAAGTTAATAAAAGAGTGACCTCTTTGGTAGATTGACTGCTAAAGGGCTACAAGAAAAGTTTGGGAACAAAAATATTTGCCTGTCGGCAAATTCTTGAAATGGATTTAGCATCTGTAATGAAGCACAGAGCTCGTGCGATGTCACGGTATCATAATTCCCGATAAAATTGAGTTTGAAGAGAGTTGTCAGTGTTTAAGTGTTGAAAACCCGTGTTTTCAGGAGAGTAGCGCCGAAAATTCATGAAAAAAAACGGTCCAACGGGGCGATTTTCTGACTCCTTCAACTTTGGGAAGAGAAAAAGTATTCGTTGCTAAGCCCCAACCTTCTACTCCAATCCAGGGGAGACAAGAACTGCAAAAAGTTCAATGTGAAAGAAAGTTATAACAATTTAAAGCCAAAAAACCAGCGCTCTGCAAAAAATCGGTCCGCGATTTCCCAAAAACGGTCCAACGGGGCGATTTTTTGACTCCTTCAACTTTGAAAGGAGTTCAAGTATTCGTTAGAAAGCTCTAACCTTCTTCTTCAACCCAGGGGGACAAGAATCGCAGAAGGTGGAATTTGAAGAAAGTTATAGCCATTGGAAGCCAAAAAACCTGGTCTTGCGAAAAAAACGGTCCAACGGGGCAATTTTTTGAAGGAAAGAGTTTTTGCAAAAGCTTGAGCACTTTTTAGAAAGAAAACAGTCTGAGCTTTCCAATTTTTCTTACCGCTCCTCATAATTCCTTGTTTGAAGAAAGTTACAACCTTTTAAAGGACGAAGTGTGCATTTCTGTGAATTCTCTGTTTTCTACCTCATAACTGACGCAGTTTTGAAGATGAAGCATAACCGTGGTTACCTTCTGAAACAAGCAGTATTGTAGATTACAAATCTACTTAGCAATTCAAGAAATGTTGATATTGAACAAAATTACGTTTATTTGAAAGTGAATAGTCGGTTTTCGCTGCCCGCGCTGCGCCGAGGGGAAGATTGCGCGCGCCAATGCGAATGCAACGCTCCCGTGCGTGCTCCAAAATCGGACACTTCTGCGGGGAGGCGGTCATATGGCGCGGTCACATTGCCATTGGGGCGCATGGGCTGTAGTTGCCACCCAGGCGCCGCCCATATCCAGCCAAATAACTCGTCCGGATCACCGAACGAATAGATTATCGTGGTTGATCGGTCTGCAATAGAGCGCGCCAGAGTAGACTGGACTGCAGAGCCTCCCAAGTTCACCATTCTCGACCCATCTTCCGGCTTCATTCTTGCGCTTCGCACTGCACACTTCAACTATTAGAATGACTGTAGAGTTACTTCGAAGTGATTGTATCACGATCATTTTGGAACTGTGATACATTGCACTTTCCAGCAACTTACAGTGGATGACAACAATTACTATACGTGGTAAGTATTGTTAAGTCTTTTTCTGTTCAGGGAACAGTATTGGAAAGTCTATTGCTTTGACTAAACTAGGCGCTTTTTTTAGGAACCATTCTTGAAACCTATTCACAATGGCCTTTTTGTGTACGAACCATCTAAACCTAAACAGTACTACGGTTGATCAGCTCACTTGGAGTCTTCAGCTGCAGTTTTATTATTTCTCATCCCTTTTTGTTATTTTGCCATCACCTGCGATCCCACTTCACTAACTTGTTCGGTGTAATATTCTCGAATTCACCCCTCTTTGAGTTCTTTGGTGAATTTCTATGTCCTGCCTCACCTTTTGAGAATGACACTCATCAGTAATTATTACTAGAGGAGACAATAAAACGTGCAATGTTGCACATGATATGCCTAAGGGACTCGCAAGGACACAGAGATTGGGATGAGATATGCTTTTGGCAAAGTAGAACTGAATCACAAGTGTAGAAAACAGGGATCTCATTACCCCAACAAGGGGATCGCTCAGTGGTATGGGATTTGATTGATGAGAGAACATCAAAGATAACACATTCAAGTGACAGAAGACGAATAACTCGGTTAGGAGAGTCCAATCAGATTAGAAAAACGAGCTGCTGTTGTCTCGAACGCTTTGGGTCCATTTTCCGTGCATGGAAAAAACGAGCTGCTGTTGTCTCGAACGCTTTGGGTCTTTTCCAACAGGGGCATGTGGTGCGGTTTTTGTACTGCGTACAGTGCAAGGGGAAACCCTCAAGGTGCGTGGGTCATTTCTCTTCCATTTTAACATCCCAGAGCTCCTCACCCTGCAAAATTTCTGTGTGGTCAGAATAGCACGTCGACATAATTTTCCCTTTCTTTCACGCATAGTTAGACAAAATCTATAACGGCATCCTTATCTTAGAAAGCTATAAGAAATAAACCAGCAAAACTGCTTAAATAATATCATATTCATGCACGGTGATTGATTCTCACGCATTCATCAATTAGCAGAAAATCAAGGAGTCTCAATACTTATCTCACAGCTTTCGGGAGAAGCAAATCCAAAAAACCACTGCTGGTGAAGTCACAACGAAACTTGGATACATGAAACTTGGATACCAACCCACAATGAAACTGTTTTCTGAACAAAAAAAAACTGAACAATAGTTACCTACCTCGTATCGGAATTATTGTCATCCACTGTAAGTTGCTGGAAAGTGCAATGTATCACAGTTCCAAAATGATCGTGATACAATCACTTCGAAGTAACTCTACAGTCATTCTAATAGTTGAAGTGTGCAGTGCGAATTCAGCGCAAGAATGAAGCCGGAAGAAGAGTCAAGAATGGTGAGCTTGGGAGGCTCTGCAATCCAGTCTACTCTGGCGCGCTCTATTGCAGACCGATCAACCACGATAATCTATTCGTTCGGTGATCCGGACGAGTTATTTGGCCGAGATATGGGCGGCGCCTAGGTGGCAACTACAGCCCATGCGCCCCAATGGCAATGTGACCGCGCCATTTGGGATACACCCCTTCTGCGGTATATGTCTCATGCTCTGAGATGCGCCATGCACTCGTTTGATATGCGCATGCATATCGAAATGGAAATTTTTGTGATTCTGAACGCCCATTCATGAAAGGCAGGCAAAGCGCCATTCGAACTAAAGGGCAGTACTGTTTAGCAACTAATGAAGGCAGTTCGTTTTGCGATGTTATGCATTAGTAAATTACCGGATATCAGGAAACTAGAGCTCGTCTGCTAACTGTGTTTGAATTCAAGCCAAGTGTCTTTAGATTTTTTGTAGATTGCACTTATTTCCCCCGTTAGCTTCTCTCCTTAGCAGTGTACAGTACATAATGAATGGGGGGGGTCTCCTAGAGGGGGGAGTCGTAAAAATTTTGGAATCGGTCCAATGTGACGGTTGACCCTGATGCCGATGTCACACGTCGCAGCGGTCAAATAATGGGCGCGGTCCACACGCCAGACCAGGCCAAAACGCGCGTTGTCGTCAACGGTTAAAGGAATCTTCCACGGAAAGAGTGATCATTTTGTCTTGTGTGTAGGATTAGTATTATCGAAACTAACGCTTATGTTCCGTTCTTTTTGCTATGCTCATGAGGCTAGGGGCCTAAGGGGTATCGTTTTTCTGTGGTAATGGAGGCGGAGCTTTTTCCGCGGAAGATTCCTTTAAACACTGAAATAGTAGCCGTCGATCGAAGCAGTCGTTGTTTCGATAGCGGTTGACCCGCGCACCAACGGTGGGAGTGCTTGGAAACAGGAGCTTTGGAGGCACCTTCTGAGCCTTGTCACGCCATCTGAACGTTCCTCTACCCTTTTCACACCCATCGTTCTAACAATGACTCACTTTAACTCCCTTAATAGAGCTATCTCCCTGCATGCAGACATGGAGAATCCTTGTCCCTCGATGAGCTTCAGAGCGTATTCCTTAGCTGGATATTTGGCTGAAGGAACTTTGGGTTGTGCTTTGAACACATGACCGTATGTGCCGCGACCCACCTACAATAACAATATTTGCGTAAGTACAAGGAAAAAGCTGTTCCTCACGTACTTTGTGCCCATCATAGTAGAACAAGTCGTCGACATTTTCACGAGATCTGGCCAATTCTTGTTTGAAAGCATAATCGATCATTTTCAGCGCCCTAACCTCGTTTCGTCATACTTAAAATATATGTGAGAGCAGAAATGTTGAGTACTGCTTCGAATAGAATTTGATCCTGAAAAGAAAGAAAAATAAAACTTCATGCCAGTAAAAGCAAACATACCATGATCAGTAAATCGGCGTCATTCATGATGAATTGTCCGCAGCCTTACAAAACATTCGATTTGACGGTATCGAGTTAGTGGCTGGCTTCAGCTGCTTCGAATGGAGTGTGGTTCACAAGTACAGAGAACGGCTTTTTCGTGTTTCGCAGCCGTCCAAGGGCAGCGGTCAACCGGAAGACTTGATGATTCAGCATTTTTGCAGTGTTCTCGGAAACTCTCGCGCATCTCTGCTTTCTTTCCCTCCTTCGAAAGGCTTAGTCCTAGAAAACACAAAATTTGTGCTTTTTCATCTGGACTCTTACACGTTGGTTGACCACTGCCCCGTAACCTTTCGCAGCGCGCACCATTTTTCGCTGCGGGGACCTCAGGTCCACCTCTGATCATTAGCGGACCCGAGGTTCCCGCAGCGAAAATCAGTGGACCAGAGGTTCCCGCAGCGAAAAATGTTTCGCGCTGCGGAGCGCGAAAAATTCGCTTTCTGTCCTAGTGAACCACACCCCTTCGTATGGCTTGGAACCAGGGTCTAGCGAGTGAGCGAAGCGAGGTTTCTTACCAGAATACGTCATGTTCCAGTAAGCACAAGCGAAAAGATTCTTCCAGTGGAAATCTCACGCTTTTAGATCAAACAAATCAGAATAGAGGAAAGCGCAGCGAATTCGGCGGATTGACCACTACAGTCCTAAGAGAACCTCTGGCAGGAGAACTGGTATCCTTTCATGATCATCTAGCATACGCAAT